AATGGATCTGTCAAGGCATTGCCTGAAAAATACTTACTTTATGTACAACGGGAAAATTTATAGTAGATAGAGCAGCAATCGGATCATCTCTCGCACCTGTGATCGCCAACCTCTTCATGATTTATATGATATATATATATATATATATATATATATATATATATATATATATATATATATATATATATATATATATATATATATATTCTCACGTATTGATTCACGGATGGAAAAATCCTGCATCCGACTGGAATCCTGCAAATCCTACATCCGACTGGAATCCTGCAGACGTTTCGCCAAAATCTCACTTGGCATCTTCAATGCTCGCGCTCCGAAAACACTTCGAAGTGTTTTCGGAGTTCAACGAGCGAACAGACGATATCCCGGAGTATAGTGTCATCATATATATATATATATATATATATATATATATATATATATATATATATATATATATATATATATATATATATATATATATATATATATATATATATATATATATATATATATATATATATATATATATATATATATATATATATATATATATATATATATATATATATATATATATATATATATATATATATATATATATATATATATATATATATATATATATATATATATATATATATATATATATATATATATATATATATGATGACACTATATTCCGGGATATCATCCGTTCGCTAGACTGGAATCCTGCAGACCTTTCGCCAAAACCTCACTTGGCATCTTCAATGCTCGCGCTCCGAAAACACTTCACATTTTTCCATCCGTGAATCAATACGTGAATATATATATATATATATATATATATATATATATATATATATATATATATATATATATATATATATATATATATATATATATATATATATATATATATATATATATATATATATATATATATATATATATATATATATATATATATATATATATATATATATATATATATATATATATATATATATATTGTTTTATTTTAACAAACATTATATTATACTTGCTCATGATTTCCTGCAAGAGAATAATCTTCCAAATCCTGTTTAGACCGTATTAGCGCGTGGTGAATTCTTTCATAGTGATACAAAATGTAGGACTTTTAAACTTCCACATTAAATTTTTTTATTAAAATTGGTAAGTAATATCCATAACATTTTTAAGTTGCAGGAAATAAAATACCTCACATTAAAAAGCACGAAAAGTTTTTACATTTCATCTCTTGTAATAAGAAAAAAGCATTTTGAATTCAGTTATAACATTTACCTTTACATTTACATTTAAATACTGAGATTTTCATGGATTTTTTAGAAAAAAATCTAAGCCAATTCTCTCTACTGGCATATATACGTTGTCGACATTTTAACTTATTTTTCTGGTTCTTCAATTTTCTTAACTTTCATAATAAGTTGCCCCTTGATAATAAATTTACAATACAAGAAAAAGTTAATAATTTAATTAACTTTCTAGACCTGCCCATTAATTATGAAAATAATTTTCATAATTTTTCCATTTTTCATAAACCTTTCCATACTGATATTACTATTCCGAATTTTAAGTTTAACATATTTCGGAAACTGTAATGAAAAAGAGTTCAACTTCTGAAGTAAACATAATCGAGGAATAGATTTTAAAAATAACTATCTTTTAGGAAAATTAATTAAACATAATGAAAATCCAACAAACAAAATCAAAAGAGCAGAAAACTCATCAATTCGCACCATACTAATTTTAAAGAAAATGCTAATGTTTCGAAAATTTGGAAGTACACATATACAAACCTTTTAGTAGCCCGGAAAATTAAGTGTTTGTGTTTTATATTTGCTTGTTTTTTCGACAGACATGTTCAAATTTTCTTACCATTTCGTACTTAAACGGTGATTTATAAATTTTAAAGTATTTTATTTGCAAAAAGGATAATATATTAACACCAAAAATATTTGCCTCGGTGGTTTGGCTACATTATAAACTTTTTGAAAGTGCGACCCCAAGAAGTTTGCCAAACATTTAACTTTATATAGGATAGTCCTTAAGTTTTTGCTCAACTCAAACTCTCGTTCTCATTTTGTGGTACGAGTACATACGATAAATTCTGATAAATTATCAATAGTTTATGGTGAAAGCAAACAATTATATATGTTTTGATGTTTCTTTTTTAATGTTCATAATTTTAGTATATAAAGACGGTTAGGAATTATGGTACTGAGGACGAGTGAATTTTTTAACGAGATATGTATGTTATAAATTTTCTTTATTTAATTTTATTCTATGTATTTACAAATAAAAAAGTTTGCTATGGTTTGTTTATAGCGCCCTCTATGAGCTACATTAAAACGAGTTATCTATTCCAATTTGCCACCTATAAAAAAATATAAGTTGTCAATGTTCAAATTTCACAACCAACCACACAACACACCGAAACTAGGCACATTACACATTTGTATAAGGCAAGAATAATTTGCCAAACGCATTCGGGGGTGGGCCGTCGAACATATGGCACGATGGATCATTTCTCACCCAGAATAACCGATGATAGGTTTCCTCTGCAGGCAACATTTGTTGATACCTACTTTAAACCCGAAATTGATAAAGGTCGATGTCTACACATTGTTGCGGTAATTATCTCACAATGGAGGCAACAGCGTTTTATTATGGCCCTGACGAACAGCGGCAATATTTGTCAATCACGTGGTCCCATATTCAAGAGAAGAATTGAGAAACCGATCGAAAACAATGTATCCCCCTCTAAAATTCGTCATTTTTTCGATCACAATTACAAAGAGCTTTATTTTGCCCAAAATATGTATCACACTTTATCACTGCGTTATGAATGATCGGTGTTGTCGTGTCTGCTTAACTATATTGGTATCGGCGTCATATGATGAGGAATGTAATAATTTTGCATCACGAAAGAGATTCTTCCTTTTTAAGTTTGGCTTAGACTCTCTTGCGTAGTCTGATGTTTTGGTTATATGGTACTCTCAGAATGAGAATTAGAAGTAGAACGATATCTACAGCAAGCCCTTCGGGAATTTAAAAAACATTAAAATCCTCAAATATCATAAATACAGCGTAAATTAATGATTGCTCCTAATTTTGTTCAGAAAAAATTCCTGATCAATTTTCCTCCGATCCATAAATCAACGTGACTAAGGAGGGTTTGAACAGAGGACACAAATCGCAATCATGGCTAACAAATTGAGTTAGAAATTCGTCTTTCAATTTAACTTGATAAAATTGTATTCTAACTGATATTTGAAGCACTCGCTTTCTTATGAGCCTGAACTAACTGGATTTTTTCTGCGTCGGGTATTGACTCTGTCTCGTTCTGAAGAAGCTATCAACATTTTTCAGTATTCGGTAGTTTCGACAAAATAAAAAGTGGTTGGATAGTTATTATATATATATATATATATATATATATATATATATATATATATATATATATATATATATATATATATATATATATATATATATATATATATATATATATATATATATATTATCATTAATATTATAGCAATATAGCAAACACAGATTTTTTTCGAAATTTTTGAAACATTTTTTAAACTTTATATCCTCTGGGCATGAAATTAATAATTCAAAAAGAAAATATGTATATTTCCTGAAACACTGAATCATGAAGATCATTGTAATTTGAATATTTTGGTTTCAGTAATTTCTCAATGTTGCCTAAAAAATGTTATTAATTAATATTTTTTATTCAAATCATAACTTTTTTATTGACACTTAGAAAATGGTAGTTACTTTATTTATTTATATTAAATTTCAACTTACAGGCTGATTACCTAACAACTCAATCAAGATATGCATGAAACCCGTTAATTAAAATAAACAAATAATTTTGGTGATTTTCAGGAATAAAATTTGCAAATAATGCTTGTTTATTTGTTGTTCTTTAAACGTGTTTTATTTGGGACACTTAAGTATACCAAACTCAATATCGGATTGTCAAAGGGTAGTTCTTCTGTTGCTAATAGTTTATAACGTTCTAAGTTGTGGAATGAAGAAAGAATTTTTAATTCCGATTTGATTTTTTTCATATATCATTAAGAATTCAAGATTTTCTATATTTTATTACATATGTTACGTCAGTCAGCCATAAAATGTATTTGCTTAAGTATGGAGTAAGGTTCGCGTCTAATGTACAGGGTGGGAGAGTGACGAAGGTAACCTGTTTTAACTCAGAAAACACGAACTGCTGTAAACATTTTAAAGCCAAAGTGATCAATAAGAAAAGACTGTAAATAATTTTCATATATAATTTCATATCTATGCCGCTACGGGGTGTTTTAGCTGTGGTTCTTTCAATCGGTTCACTGTTAAACAATGAAATTTTACAAAAATAATGAAACAAAAATTGCAGTTCTATAAAATGTGTCTTTACAAATTAGTACTCATCACTCATTTTTTTCAAAAGTTTATATGTAACTTACCTTAGAAGTTCAAGAAGCATGGGTATGTATGCACATAGACCCATGCAATAATATTTTCAAACAAATTAAAATGATTCAATTTCTTTCGCCGGCAGGTTTAGAAAACGCGCTTACCTCGGACTAATCGTCGAACGAAACGAATGTGACTTATCCTGAATTATTTGCCACGCGTTAAAACCCTTTTTGGTTTTAATCCGACTTTGGTTCAATTAAATTTAATATAAGATTAATAAATTCGTTTAAATTAGCAAATCGACTCAACGCGCTCGAGAAAATTATAATATTAATTAAATTTTATGGTCAAACATGCCACGGCGTTATGTTTATCGGCGTTTATTAATATATTTCGCGGCTCGGTCAATTATATAGGAGATTTGGAATTTTTAACACATCTGGTGCCGGACTATATGGTGCCGAATCGTTTCGAATGTCATTGCAATTATATTCGAATTACGGCGGATGTATATGTTTTCTTTTCTCCGTCGTACACCTTATAATTAATAATCATTAATATCCGCTTACCGTCACTGGACGATGATCCCACGTGCGATCCTCCGTCTCCTGAAAAATGAACCTCTTATCAATGAAACGTCCAAACAAAAATCCAACGCACGTTATTTGCGTTCCCTTTAATATAAACTTCCGAATGGCAACTTCGTCGAACTTTTAGGAAAACAATCGATAATCGGTACCAATTTCGATCCATATAATTTAATGATCCGTCACATATTGCCTGGGTAATTTGAGCGATCTTCGGCCACCAAATTGACCGTAAACTCACCGAAATAACACGATCCGTACGCCTTAATCGTTTTAAATTTGTGCCCGCGCATAAATACTACACCCACGATCGCAGAGAGATTGGTAAAACTGAAAATTAATCAAAATTTAAGTAAAACGCTTTGGAACTTAAACAGTTTGATCACGGATTTGGTTTGTCGTGCTTTAAGTTCAATATTCGAAGATTTTTTGTTAATGACAATAACATTAAAAAGCGCTTTTTCCGGCATTTGTCGGGAGATATATTTCGTTCCATAGATAAATTGCAATGATAGGTTCCGATGAATCCTATATTTGAGTTTTTAACTCCTACACACATCGAATCGTTCCTGAATTAGGGTCACTATCTCGCTTTCTATAGAGAGGCGAGTTTGATTTGGCGTTGCTACAGGTAGTTTATAAGGAAGTAGAAATGGACAGATGATCTCTATTTTAATCTCCATTTTATCTTTATATTTAAGCCAGAATCAAAAAACCTAGGATCAAATAATTTTCATTTTAAAGATATTAAGTGTTCCAGTACAAAATACACTTCACAACAACCTCCCAAAGAAAATGAGTCCGTTTGCCACGGTGGTCCTATTTAACATTCAAAACATTACTGACCGCACAACAAAAGTTTCTAATAAATATAATGTTAAAACCAAATTTACCGCTTGTCCAAAAACCTCTCTAAATTGCGTTGGAGACACCAAGCATACGGCAAATAATACATTAGAGGGACGAAAAACTTCAACTAGGCTGAAAGAACATGTAGGAGCCTTAAAATTATGACAAATAAAGTAATCAGCAGTTGGCCAACATAGTCATGAATCCGGACAGCAAACCTTATTGAAAAATGTACAAATCATATTAACCAGTCTATTCTGTCCCCAGAATTAATTATTTTGTTTGAAAAGTTGGTGTAGGTAAGTAATATTAATATGCTTCTGTAAAGTTTATTATAATATTATATTGTTTTAAGTTGTGTTCTTTACATTGAGTAATAAAAGCCAATAGACACGAATTAGACGTTTTTTTTACAAATAATTCTTTAATAATGCTAATTTTTATTAATGTCATAAATTGTTAATATATTAATATATACCAAGAAGTATACGTAGTTCCTTAGAAGGCGAACGATATGACGCTTATAAAGGTGTAATCAATTGTATAGCCCAATAAATTTTGTGTTTACCACTTTTTGATATAACTGAAACGAAATCTGTAAGCGTTTGTTAAAAATTATTAAATTTAATAAAACAGAAAATATTAGAGCTTAGTATTTAATACAGAATTGTAAATTATTATTATTTTGTCAAAAGGGCTGGAAAAAAATTATGACAAAAGCTTCGAGTCTACACACAAAAATACACACAAAAATACACACTAGACAGGAATTCGGAAACTCGCAGAATGTCAAAAAATAGCAGATGTTAGGATTTGTGACAATCTTATGACTATGACTTTGCTTCAAGAAAAAAAAGATAAAGTAAATCTCAGATGTGTGCTGCTAAATGGATATTTATGGTAAAATGAACGAGGTAACCAAAAAGTTGGACAAAAATATTTGAAACAGAACATGACGGAGCAATGACGGAAATGACGAAAAATGCCTTTCGGAACAGCGCAACCCTTTTCTTAAAATATCCAAAATCTCACCGTTAAGCCCTCGTGGAAAGGAGTGCGAGTCATCCAATTCGTCTTCAGGGTTACAGGTGGAATTTCCATCACACCAACGTTTATGATGAAGACTGGATTCAAGTCCGGCTGAAAATAATATAGGCTAAGCATTTTGGTAATCACGATTTCGACTTACATTTGAAAGAGACCTTGGAAAGGGCGATTCTAAGATGGAGTACAGCAATCCTCATTGCCAGAATGATAGTCTGGGGAAAAGATGCTCTTAGAATTCTTCACGAAGTGCAAACTACTCTAATGGAATAATTTTGGTATTGTTCCTATTTGATTCTTATTGAATATAATTGACAATAAGTTAAATATTAAAATTGAGTTAAGAACTTTTTAGGAGTATGATTTTTTAAAATATAATTCGGTTGAAATATTCTTATTGCATTTCCTAATATTCGTCTTTAAGCATTAATAATGGGTGCTTTTTTTCGATGTACAGAACTTTAAGTTGGCATTACTGTTCAAGATGGAGACCGATTTAATAGCTGTCAAGTGATTTATTCTCAGTTTGATTTGGCAATTCATCATGAATAGACTGACGCCTGAACAACGCTTGCAAATGGTGCAATTATCGCGCACTACGTCCATTTTATCGTCGACAAAACCGTCCATCAGAGCAGTTAATTCGATTAACCATGGAACGTTTTCGCACCACGTTTACTCTTATTGATAACTCGCATCCCCAGAGACGCCGTACGATGCGTACAGAAGAAGCTGTTGCTGCTGTAGAGCGTAGCATTGAGGAAGACCCGAATGAGTCCATCCGCCAACGACCACAGTAATTGGATCTGTGTTAATCCACTTTATGGAAGATTTTGCGGAAGGATCTTGGTTTACGTGCTTACAAAATACAACTCGTGCAAAAATTGAAGCCAAACGATCATCAAGTAAGGCGTAGATTCGTCGAATGGGCCCAAAACGAGATTGCCGTTGTTCCCGATTTCCATAAGCGAATTTTGTTTAGCGATGAAGCGCACTTTTGGTTGAATGGCTACGTTAAAAAACAAAAATGCCGCATTTAGAGCGAAGCTAATCCACAAGTGTATGTCGCTGGTGCGCTTTATGAGCTGGTGGAATCATTGGTCTGGACTTCTTCAAAAACGATGATGGCCAGAACGTTACAGTCAATGGTGATCGGTATAGAGCTATGATTACTAATTCTCTCGGAATTGAATAACCATGATGTCCAGGAAATGTGGTTTCAACAAGACGACGCAACATGTCACACAGCTCGTGCCACAATCGATTTATTGAAAGACACGTTTGGTGACCGTCTAATTTCACGTTTTGGACCTGTGAATTGGCCTCCACGATCTTGTGATTTAACACCGCTGGACTACTTTCTGTGGGGCTATGTAAAGTCATTGGTCCATGCGGATAAGCCACAAACGCTTGACCATTTGGAAGACAACATTCGCCGTGTTATTGCCGACATACGGCCACAAATGTTGGAAAAAGTCATCGAAAATTGGACGTCCAGATTGGACTACATCCGCGCGAGGCGTGGCGGTCATATGCCAGAAATCATATTTAAAATGTAATGCCATCGTTGTTTTATTAAACTTAAAGTTCTACACATCGAAAAAAAAAACACCCTTTATTTTTATTCTGAAGATTAGTGGTATTATTTTTTCTAATTCCTAGACAGTACAGATCCAAACTCCGTCTTAGTTTTGAGCAGGTAAGTTTTATTATTATAGATTTGAAGTTCTTTAAGGAATAAAAAATACAATTTCAGTAAAAAATCCAAGCTTATTTAAATAATTATGATAATTATGACGGACAAGAATATTCTGTTTTTACATTTTATTTGTTTTCGACGTTCTCTTTCCTTCAGCTTTTAAAACTTTTTTTTTTATTTCTTCCAGACATTTACATATTACAATATTTCTAGCTCAAACGATATAATTTATACAGAACCAAATAACATTCGATTATTATATTATTATTATTATTATAAATGATATTGCCAACAAAATCTTTACTTCTTTTAGGTAAATATTAAAATCCAGGTAGGTGTATCAAATAAAATTTTATTTGTAACATCAAAGCGCATATAGGCCTTTCGAATATACCAGATCGGTATTTAAGGTATTTAAGATTCTAGCATTGATAATGATACTAATACCAATCTTTATTTTTTGCATCTATAAAAAATATTACTGAAACAGGGTAACTGCAGTCAGTTTTAATGGAGATTCACGGCTCCTTAGAACACTTAAATTAGATTATACATATAAATAAATACAAGCGGCATAGTCGGAGGTGGAGTTGGTAATATATAATTGTATTTAAAAGGGGTGTTATACATAGATAACACAGCTGACTCATGAATGCTGGGGACTAACTAACCCACGGAATCTTAAGTTTAAGAATGTTAATCATGTCGGTTATTTTATTTGTTAAATATTGTGGGCGAAGAATATTGAAAAAAATGAGGCAAGCTTTCCCCGTTGTTCCTAAAATACAGGTGTTTATCGAATTTGACTATATCAGTTTTTCATGTTACAAAAAAGTAGGGTAATGCGCAAACCGCATCATTGTAATAGTAATGGAGACACCTGTATAAGTTTTTTCAGGCTCAAATTTTAATTGAAATATTATCACGCGGCATTTTATTATTGAAACATCGAGATTTCTTGTGCGCGTTGCCAATCGCGCACTTTCTAAAACGCCAGTCAGGATTAAAACTTTTTTCGGCTATATTAATAACAACGCCCGCGTGAGTTGAATGTCAACAAAAAGGTCCCGCTTTGTTTTTCACGCCATTTCGCTAGCGAAAAGTGAGAGTGTCGTTTGGCAGAGTCGCGTATTATTCCGTAGTCAACTGATCGACATACCAAATGCACAATCAATAGCAAAGCTTACCGAATAACGTGTTAAGATGCTTCACTCTTAGTAAATCTATTGCGCACTTTCCTTCGGCCTACAAATATTCCGCGCATAGGACAAATTTCAATTATTATTGCCATGAACATTTTAACAAACAAAAACCTAATCAAACACGTGTCAGTAAATTCTTTAAAGATTTCACAGCGTTGTGATCCACACTGGCTTTTATGCACTTCTAGAACAGTCCTCCTGTGCAATAAAAGAGATTTCTGCATATTTTTATTCTTCTAGAAAAGATTTACGGGTTTCCATTTTTAAAAAGGTTTATCTTGCAAGCCATTATGAAGTTATTCGTGATACTTACCATTTTGCCAATTGCCAAATAGGACTTTAGCAAATCACTTTTGCTAACAGCAAGTAAGTTGTCTTCTTTTCTTATGATGCCTCTATTTTAAATTCATTTATTTAAATTAAAAAGTAAGTTCGATACTTATATTTTATAGAAGGTAATTGGGCAATCGCTACATACTCGCGGCTAAACTTAGTAACTTGAATTACCAAATATTTAAATGACAGGCTTTGGTGGAGCTATAGGTAAATGGGAATTTGGGTTGGGTCGCTATTTCATGATGCATTTGGATCAAGTAAAACTAGCATTTTCAAATGAAACTTAAGGAACTTAAACTTAAAAAATTGAGCTGAAAAAATGATTCCCTAATTAACAAAGATTCTCTACGACCTTTTTTGCAAACAGGTCTTTCCATACGTAATCTTTATGATGATTTCCATTCAAATCTAATATAAAGACTGAAAAGTTTTTGAAAACAACACAGGTTTCAGTAAGCCATCTCACGATCAGTGTCATTAGTGCCAGATTTATAGTAAACATATAAATGGAATGAATGAAAAAGATACCTTAGAAAATAAACAAATGATACAGAAATAACCGACCTGACCGATGAATCACAACTAATCAACTGATCCACTTAATTTAATATAGCATGTGTTTCAAAGGATTACGTATCTGCAAAAAGGGATAATAACAATAATAACATAATATATTAGTTAAAGAGTAAATATTTTTTGTTAAGGTTTCAAACATTGTATTGAATTGTGTTTCCTGCTACAGGAGTTGTACTTTGTATACATTTAAAGAAACTGAAATCATTTTTTCCAATTGCTGCTGATTTCATATTTCAATTAAATTTGAAATTGATACACAGATCGACGAAAAACATAATCTCCGTGTAACGCTTCTCAACTGCGCTAACCATTGTGCGAGGAAGCAGATAGGTACTAGCCTCGCGTGAGACAACTTATATGTTATTCTGTAGCTTTGAAAGTGCTGGCAACCGAGGTCTCCGAATGACGACGGAGTTGAAATTCACAAATTGCTGCTTGAACATGCGGCAACATTTTATCCAAAAATTAAGACATCGTACGCAATTATAACGTCGAACGCAACCGAATTAGCATCGATCAAAAACCTCAATCGGTGTTCGACGTTATTTGGTGGATTTTAATTAATTATGGCAATTTGTATATTGTCACTCACGGGATTCTTCAGTATAATTTAAATAAATTACTGCTTATCAAACACTTTATATAACTGTAGCAGGATTTTATTGCTTCGGGCCACTTTAAGGATTTATGCAAATGAAAGTCGAAATAGAGCCTTATATTCTCTAACCAATAATAATTGAATAAAATGAAGTGGTTATTTATTCGATTACCAGAACTCTTGTTTTTATTTATGTTTCTAACTGATAATGAATTAAAGTTTTACTTTGAAGTGTTTTAATTTAATTGGAGATACACAAAGATCAACAGAATTATCGAAACAAAAAGACAAATAATTTTCTCAAATCTTATAAGAAAAGACTCTTCGGGAATTAGGATTAGGGAATTTCCAAAAACATTTCCAAAAGTAATTTAAGCCATGTCCCTGGTTGAAAATTTAGTCATGTTTTCATTAAAATTGAAAAAAACGATGAAATTAACTAAATGGAAATTTGGAAAACGATTTTTTTTTCAGTGCGGACTGGTAGAAATTTAAAAAATATATTTTCCATATTTGATTATGATTGAGGATTTGATGATTGCATTTTAATTTTACTGAGGTATCTATGAGAGGAAATTAACTGCTTATTTTGTACTTAGAATGAACTATTTAAATTTGTAAATTGCAATTCGGGACACCTATATAAACATACTACATTCATACTACATTAATTGTTAAAAGACTAGAATAACGTTTGGGTTAATAATCATTTGCGAGAGATTCGAATTGCCAAGTGTTGTAAAATAGCAACATAAGGTACAATTAAATTTAGTTCATTCGTGTAAACTATTAGTTATTATTAAATTAGGTTTAATTGAATTTGACATAAGATTAACACACGAAGAATTTGACTGTAGTTTAACCCAAGCTTACTTCCACTCGAAGAATATTAGAATAGATATTCTTGGACAAAACTTTAAGGCTTGTATTTAATTTTCTTCCGTGTTCCTGCAGTAGCAAGACCGACATTTCAACATGCAAAAATTCACGAAAACTTTAATCGAATTTGCCTTTGGATCTAATTTAAATATTTAAAGAAATTTAATCAAATAGCAAGGTCACCTAATAAAATTGTGACTTAGAATACAGGTTCTATATTCTATATTTGTCATTTTTTTGAAATCCAAACGCTAAGGAAATATGACTTCAACGTTTATGATAATACTTACGTTTTTTCTTGTGGTCCTGATCTTGCTGATGCATCCCTCCCGACGGGTCCAACATCATGGAGTGCCCCAGGTGTCCTCCGTGACCCCCTGGCTGGCACTCCATCGTAATCATACTACTATCAATGATGAACTGCAACAAACCGAGAAGTGCGTTAGTTAGAACGTAACGTCTGTGTATCGCGAAAAATGCAATAGGCAATTTTTTTTATCGCATCTTAATTGCATGGAGACATTAATGGCCATTAAGCCGGTGGAGAGAACATGCGACGTTTCACAGGACATCAAATTGAAATAGATCCTTCGTGGCGTCTAGGTGAGGCCATATGGCAGGCGCGCTTCTCACTTTTGCGACATGTTTCTCCTGTCAGATTAATATCGCAAATGTGACAGTTTCAGAGCGTTACGACGGGCGCCATGTTGGGTGTCCCTGTTACAGTCAACGGCACCGGGACATTCCATAAGTAAGAAAGTTGCAATGCTCGACATTACTTTGAAACAATTATCCGTCTGGTCTGTTCATTCTTATATCCGTAAATACCAGGGACTGTACTATGGAAACATCTTTTAATCTAGCACCCAAAAAGTCATAGGTTCAGTTCTGTTCACATTTAAAGAAATATTTTCAAGTTGGCTGGTGAAAATTTTAGTATAATATGGTGTAGACCCTACTCAAAAGAGAAGCACTATATAAAATGAGGAATAATAAATCTGTTTAAAAAAAAATGACAATTTTCTTGTAACGTGTATTTTAAAAAACCTTAACTAACAATCAAATTATTATATTATTATTGTTATTACAGTTTGCAGCTAATACAAACTGGATTTACATATACAACTTTAATATTGAGACAAATTTGATTATTTATCATTTTCACGAAGTACCTATACATCTCTAATTTAGGATTTCACTTTGAAGCATTCATTATGGATCACCCTGAATATGAAACCAATATTACCCTTTCAAAATACATATTAAAGTTATATTCTTACAAATTAGATCAAAAATCGCTACATTTTGTGGTATCAATTCCCAAGCTCACATTAAATCTAGATATAATTTAAGGCCGCCTACAACCTGACATGACAATTTACGATTATTTACTTCTTTTGCAGCACTCCAGAATGTGATATCATTTACTGCTCCAATTATTAGTAGTATTTCATGAATTTAGAATATTGGGACTTTTTGGGTGCTAATTTGACAGATTTATCACGCCCGATGTAATTTAAGTAACACGTCAACATTTCTAGAGGTTTTAGAATCACTGGTTGATACAAATCGATGCCTAAAATTTTGTATTCATATATATTTTATATAAGTAAGTTGGTTGTGATATAATTGACTATAACTATAACATTTTGGTTAAACGAAAATTGCCGAAAAAAAAATTGGTGGCACTCTGGCAGCCAAGCCAGTTCCCACATAGCCCAAAACCAATCTGATTATACCTTTTTACGCAGAATGAAATTGCGTTTTTGTTTTTACTGTGTTTAGAATATTATATTATTATTATTATTATTATTATTATTTAAAGAAATAAAGAAAAGCCGACTTTTAATAAGTCGTATTCAAAATGAGTAAGTAAAAGGTTTGAGTCACTAAGCAAAATAAGCTGATAATTTTTTAAATAGCTAAAAACTTGCGGAACATCATCTAGTCAATTATCTCTTAAAGTTCTATTCAGGACTGGTTGTTATGCCGATGGATGAGCTTAACTTCGCAATGCTGGTTGTTTTATATTCAATTTGCAGAGGTTAGTAGTTATTAAAAAATTTCTTTTCCTATTCTTTATTATATTTACTATGAATACATCCTTTTCAACAAGGTGTGTGATTTATATTCAAATATCCCCAAAAATCAACTACATATTTTCAACATTTTGAAACAGAGGTTACATATTTCTTTAAACAGGAAAATTTCGTTTTTTGAATTATTAATAAATATCTTCAATGCAAAAAATACCAACAAATTAGAAAAAAAAAAGAAATAAATTACAAAGTTGATATAAATAAAGCAAATAGTAAACATCAGCATTGAGCTTAATTTGAAAGGTGAACCTTCAAAATTGAGATTTCCTATAGTTAGTTGGAAAATCCTAACCAAAACTGGTAAGGCATTACTTTTAATAAAACCAACCGCTAAGGAATATTACATAAGCCGAATGGTCCGAAAGTCCTTCTTTCCTATTTGATGAGTCGTCTGAGAACTGAGATACCAGCGGTACTTTAAAACCCAATATTTTGAATTTCGAAAGCTAGAAAATTGAGATAAATGATACTTTCGTCTTCCAAAAAAGTAGCTCAGTTTGCTTACTGGCATTGCAATTTACTCTAGAAATCCTTAATCTAAAGGTAGCAATTAGTAAGATTTGTTTCTGCATTCTTTTAGTCCTGGCAATATGCACTCTACACTTTGGTTGCAAACTACACCAATGAAGGAACCGAGGCGTAGTATAGTGTTTAAAATACAGATTGAGATAAATATTTACATGATTCTTAAAAGAGACTTCAATATCCATTAACTCCAAGATCCTACACTTCGCTTACTCTCTCTAAAGGAGTGAAATTTATTTTATATTCAAACTCACCGGCTACAAAATGTGATGAAAATCATTTATTGAAGTTTGTATGTGAACCATTCAAACGAAATTCAGACTAACCAAAATTAGCATTAAAGCAAACATAAGAAACATATTTATATCAAAGATGGAGATCGAGACCACAGTGCGAAATGTGGAATGCCAGATATAAAACATCAATATCGGCTGGTATTATTTTAACTTTTATGTTTACGTTTAGTTAAAGAGCTTTAGAACTACATTATAATATGCTGATCAAAAGCAAAATCACGGATCTTAGCTATTAGTAACTTATTGCTGACTCTGTTGGAAAAGTCTCTATAAGTACTGTAAACCTGAAGAATCTCCTGAAAAATAAGAATATTTGTTACTGTAGGTCGCCCTGAAATCTACTCATGAGGCTCGTCGCTCATAACTTGGCTACTCTCCCAATATGAAACGGATGTAAATAAGAGATCCATAAGTGTTGCGGGCTGTGCACCTCTATAATTGAAACCTGAAAGATTAATATAATAGAAGTGTCCTTTCAGAACGCTGAGTCGGTTGCCACATCTTATGCTGGATGTGTAATGTGTAATGTCTATGTTATGTGTGTATTTCGTTTCATCAAACGCTAAAACTTATTCTATCAGAATCGAGTACCTACATTTTCCTCATAGCTCGATACTCGGTATGGACAATACAACACAGCGTGGGTAGACCCAGAGGCCCCGAGTCGCGATTACTCTTACGTCAGTTTAGCGAAAACCCCGCGAAAAATACCGAAAACGATAACATGAAATATTATAGAGATTTATTACGGTGTGGTCGTACACGGGCGCACCTACAAACGGCCGTTCGGAAAACTCGAATATTAATAAAATACCTAATTGTGGTATCGGGTGTCTTGACCACCGAAACACCATTAATCTTTTCGCGTTGCGCACTCTCAAATCCCTTGATCTATGGTTTTTGTCTCGGAAACCGATTTGCGAGAGAAACGGCTCTACCAGAGGAGGCGTTAGGCAAAACCCATCGGATAACTCTAAAATCAACATTTGGGTAACCACGGTAAAATTATTCACATTAAACAAAAGCAAATCCAGAAAATAGTACTGAAAGCACCAGTTTCAAAATAAACTTAAAACATCACAGTTTTTTAGATATTGAACTTGAATCATTATTAAAATTAATAACAATATTTGGTTTGCGCTATAAAAATGATTATAAGCGAAGATTTTTACGTGAACAGACATAGATAGTGAGTCAGATTGTTCAATTACTGAGAAAATATAGTGCAAATTTCATGCCATAATTTTGTAAAGTAGTATTTTTAGAAGTGGATATTTTCCAATGAAGGTGGTTCAAAATTTTGGCAAGAGTAATCAGTGAAAGGTGTCCAGATTAAAAGGGTACAAGAAAACAATGCATACTGGTTGTTCAACAGGATTTATTCCAGATGCAAGTTTAATTTTTTCTTTCACATCAAAAAGTTTGGACTATCATGATAATATGAATTGTGAAATAAGTGAAAAGCCGCTACCAAAATTGTCCTTCATTAATTTTATTAGACAAGGCAGCGTATCGTTCAAGGATTTTAAATAAACAACATACGTAGTCTTTCCAAAAAAAATAATATGTGTATCATGAATACAAAAATCAAAATTCAACAGAATATTATTACGAAAAACAATGTAGATGACGATCATGAAAAGTTCAAATAGCAAAATCCGTTGAATCATATTACACACGAGTACTAAAACAAATCCAAGGAACATAGAACCAAATTAATAAGGCACTGGTTGACGGTGAGTTTTTTTATTTTGTTGTCTATAACATTAAAGAGGTTTTTTTTCCTACGTCTTAGTACTCTTATTAGTACATTCTATTTTTTTTATAAATAATTTCCTTTACTGTCCTTAAAACATCTCCAACCGTTTCGACTACTGCTTCTTGGAGACTGGTGGGCAAATTTTAATTTTCTTTTTTAAGATTTTACATTGAACCATCCGAGGTTAATGTCTTCTAGAGCCGAAGACTCAGCAGATGAAGAGATCGTAAGCAAAAATTGACCGCCAACTGCCAGCAAATGTTTTCCAATAAGTAGCTTTCAGTAGTAGCTTCAGCCAGTTCTCACTTAAAATTTGTGTGACAATAAACCAATTAGCAATAAAAGGGAAACAAACTCTTAAGTTGAACTCCAAAAATACATATTGTGGTATTTCGTCTATCTTTGATTACAGAATATATCAAGATACATGATAAGATGATGACGATGGCCCATTTTTGCGTGTTTGGTTGATGTCACAGCAATGAACGCTTGAAAAATACACAGGAATTGAAATTTCTAAAAGTACATTCCAGTAGCTTGTGGAAGTATCTTTAAAATAAATCATACAAAGTAATTTCTATTTTATCAATGTTTTTCTTGCATTTTAATTTAATGTTTTAGGGCACATTTCACTTTAAGAATAAAAAAAACCTGCAAAAAATCTCGGCTTTAAATGTTTCATAAGATACGAATACAAAGTTTGCGGACAATTCGTGGCTGATCCGCCGCTGGTGTATGCGG